AAATTTTGAATACATAAAATAACTTAATATTAAATGTTATATATATATATATATATATATATATATATATATATATATATATATATATATATATATATATATATATGTATATATATATATATATATATATATATATATATATAAAATAATAATAATAATAATAATAATAAAAATGAGTGGTTTAAAATTTTATATAAAAAATATATAATAGAATACATAAAAAGTTCGAAAAAATTAACATAAATAAATATAAAAATAAAAATTATAATAAAAAACAAATAAATTACAATGATTATAATTTTATTAAATAAAAAAATAATTTGAAGGTGAAAAATAATTATAATAAATTGATAAAGTAATAGAGAAAAATCACAAAAATAAAAAACAGAAACACGAAAAAAAAAAATTGAGAATATTTTATTAAATATATTACTTTATTAAAAATTAAAATTTATATTTTCTCGCCTCTCCTCCAAATTCTCCTCATTCGGGAGGATGTGATTTAGAGGAATTTCGCTCCTCTCCTCTCTTAAAAACTGATCAAATACATTTTATTTTAAATATTTTTTTATATCTATCTACCTTGAATCAAACACACTTTTAATTAAAATAATTATTATATTTTAAAAATTAGAGAATTAATTAAAAAAAACATAAGATGAGGGAAAAAATATGGGATGAACCACCACTTCTTTAATAATCTCTCTAAACCAGTTTTTATTATTTTTTAAAATTATTATTCTAAACAAAGACAATCAATCAAAGTATGCTAAATATTAAATCACTTATTTAAAAAAAGAAGAAATAAAATAGGGATCACAAAATTTGTTCCCTCTCTCTTAACAATTTGTCCGCCTCTTTCGATTTAGTCAAGATATATTAATTATTTAATAAATTTAAAAAATTATTTTTCTCTTATAACAAAAATAAGATGAAATATAATGATATAATAATATTTATATTTAATTTAATTTTAACTAAAATTAATAAAAATTTTACTATAAAATATATAACATAAACATATGTTTATAAATAAATTATCATCTTACGCGCCACTTAATTAGAAATAAATTAAACTCAATCTATAATTCTTGAGAAGATATCAGAATTTCATTTAAAATTTGCCAAATCATCTGTTATCAAATTTTTACTATAAGATCATCCACTTTTATATACACCTTCAAGATATTCAATCTTAAAAGTGAAAAATATATTTTGTCCAGCTCAACGTGATAAACACACATTTAAGTGTCTCCCAAGTCTAAAAAAGAGTAAGGTCCTCCTAGCCAAGGCTGCGGAATTAAATCTAGGGATGGTAAAATGGGATGTCTTCGTCAAAAAAATACAAGGGGAGCAAATCCGTCAAATAAAAAAAAATATAAAAATTTAATTCGTTTCGTCAAGATAATCGGTGGGTAGACAACGGACTTATCTGTCTATTTTTTTCTTTTTTTCTTTTTCAATTTTTAATATATTAATAGGTTTTTTTTACATTTTAATTATATTTTTTATTTATATTTTAGAATAATTTTTTATAAAACATCTTTTTTAACAAATTTTATTTCAAAAAATATTACATATATTTACAAAATAATGTATAAAATAAAACCATAAACAATTTTACTAGAATTAATTAAAAAAAATTGTGGGATTATGATGAGATAAGCTAAACGAATAGCTGCGACGGACTTTGACGGATGACGGATTTTGGTGAGACGGACTTTAGCGGATGACAGTCTTTAATGAAGCAAATTGGTAGACGACGAATCTAAAATCCCAATTCAACCTGCCATTTTATGACGAATGTGCAGGCCAATCCAACAAATCACGACTCGTTTTATCACTCTTGATTAAATCCCCCGCCCCCTTTTTTCCTGCGAATCTTCGTTAAATTACACATAAACAAATGGACTAATAGATTATTTTGAAAGTCTTAAACGTTAATTATTATACTAACAAGGACACATTAATAAAAACAAAAATTTCAAAAACATCCTCATACCAAACATGCTATATAAATACATGCAACTTGTCTTGTCTTAAGACAAATTCTTATATTCACTTACAATTTAGAATGACTTCTTTTCTTTCGGCTGTTCCTAATATCCTAGAGATTGAAACCACTAGAGAAGAGGTGAAAGCATCAAGCATCATAGCTTCCAAAAGGATGAATAATGGAGGAGAGGAAAATAAGGGAATTTGTTTGAGTTGGAAGGATCTATGGGTAACTGTTTCTGGTTCGAAGAATCAAAGCAAATCGATTCTTGAAGGTTTAACTGGTTATGCAAAACCAGGTCAGGTTTTGGCTATAATGGGTCCTTCTGGTTCTGGAAAATCTACACTTCTTGATGCTTTAGCAGGTAATTAGCATATTTTAATTCTTTTGCTTAATCTTAATTTCATCTTATATATTCACATTAGTTCATAGTGATACAATATTTTCCTCGTATAGTACTATTTCTGTTCTATAATAATTGTCTCATATTATAATAAAAAATTGTCATGTTTTTAATTATTATTTTTAATTATACTATCTAATTTTTTTAAATCTTAAATTCATCTCTTTTCAAGTAATATTATGTAATAAAGTTTATAAAAAAATAAAATATAAACGAGTTATTTTTTAATAGCAAAATTAATCCCCTTAATAAAAACTATAATATTTACACCAATCTCAAATGATATATATATTTTTGTATTTATGTGAATTAATAAATTTAATTTGTTAAAATTATATTTTATTTCTTCTATTTCTGACTTTTCATTCATTTGTATTGAATTATACTTATGTAACATGTGAAAGAAAATAGACTATCAACTTAGAAAACCAAAAATTTAAAGAACCTCCATGTGTTTTTAATTCTTAAATAGAGACGTGTCTTTTTCATCTTGACATATTCCATATTTTGTAGGGCATGTTTAAATTGGCGGTGATGTATCAAAATCTAGGTAGTACCAAAATTTTGGTGAAACAATAAAATCCATTAGGTCAATTTCATCTTAAATTTTTAACAGTGAATTTCCTTTTTTTTTTTTTAATTAAATAAATAAAATATTGTAGATTCGAATTTGTGTCACTGCATATAAAGTTCTATCAACTGAATTAAATTAGCGAAATATTTTATTATTAATTTAAATAAATATTTATTAGTATGAAACTATATATTTGATCTTACTATAAAATTATATATTTTCCAACTATTAATGACGTCATTACTACAAGTCAACTCTTTACTAGATCAATATTAGCTGACCTACAATATTTAGTGGGAACACAAATACCAACTTGATGCAGTGATGGGATTTTTCTTTATAATAATGTAATTCAATTCTTTCATTATTCACTAGGTTCCAAATTCCAATGCATGTTATCTTTGAAAATTATAATATTATTTCATATAATTGTAATTGTATTTCAGGGAGATTAGGTTCAAACACAAGACAATCAGGAGAGATTCTGATCAATGGCTATAAGCAAGCATTGGCTTATGGAACCTCGGTATATATATAAACAAATCTTAAATTATTTAATTATAAACTAATCAATAATTAGTCCATAAATTCTTTCAATTAATTAACATTTATATATGTGATCATTCACATATTCAGGCATATGTTACACAAGATGATACATTATTAACAACCTTAACTGTCAAAGAAGCAGTATACTATTCAGCTCAGCTTCAATTACCTGACACAATGTCTAAACAAGAGAAGAAACAAAGAGCTGATTCTACAATCAGAGAAATGGGTCTTCAAGATGCAACTAACACAAGAATTGGAGGGTGGGGTGTTAAAGGCATAAGTGGGGGTCAGAAAAGAAGAGTCAGCATTTGTATTGAGATTCTAACACATCCTAGTCTTCTTTTTCTTGATGAACCAACTAGTGGACTTGATAGTGCTGCTTCTTACTATGTCATGAAAAGAATTGCTTCCTTAGGGAAAAAAGATGGAATTCAAAGGACTATTATCGCGTCGATCCATCAACCTAGTACCGAAGTTTTTCAACTTTTTCATAATCTTTGTCTTTTGTCTTCTGGTAAAACTGTTTACTTTGGACCTGCTTCCGCCGCATCTGAGGTTAGGACTAATCCTGATTCATGTTAATTATATTGATAACCACTTGGTGATTGATTTGGGGTTTTTCAATGTAGTTTTTCGCTTTGAATGGATTTCCTTGTCCTCCTCTTCAAAATCCATCATTTACTTAAAACTATAAACAAGGATTTTGATCAGGTAACTTGTTGATCAAGTATCAATAGCATTATTGTAACGACAACATATTCGAACATGTGTAATTAGTAAAAATTATTTTGAAATATTTCTATGTTAGGATATCGAGATTGATTTAGCAGAGATGAGTAGAACGATTTCGACAGAAGAAGCAATTGGTATCCTTGTGACGTCATATACATCATCTGAAATAAACCAAGAAGTTATAAATGAACTAGCAGCACTGTCAAAAAAGGTATCCTCTACTTTTTTATAATAGAAAGTTAACTATCGTAAAACAAAATATTGACATGCTATTTGATGATTATTTCAGGACAACAATTCAACATACAAGAAGAAAAAACATGCTGGCTTTCTTAATCAATGTTTAGTTCTTACTAGAAGATCTTTCGTAAACATGTTCCGTGATCTAGGCTATTATTGGTTACGCCTCGGCATATATATTGCTTTAGCTATAAGTTTGGCCACTGTCTTTAATGATTTGGATAAAAGTTATGGCTCAATTCAAGATAGAGGCTCATTTCTTATGTTTGTGTTCTCATTCCTAACTTTCATGACCATTGGTGGATTTCCTTCTTATGTGGAGGACATGAAGGTACAGTTTATCTATTTACTCAATATATATTTGTAGCCATCAGATAACTCTGTAGGACCGACATCTTTGAAAAATGGTGTGTCCATGCCAGGGTCGGTATCGTGTTTGGTGCTTATTCTATCATTTGTGATTTCATAGATTCTATTGATTTGTAGGTATTTGAACGTGAAAGACTAAATGGACATTATGGTGTTAGTGCATATGTGATTGGGAACACAGTTTCATCTCTTCCATACTTGTTAATGGTTTCATTGATTCCAGGAGCTATAGCATACTACCCTTCTGGTCTTCAAAAAGGATATGAACATTTTCTATATTTCATTTGTGCTCTATTTTCATGTCTAATGTTAGTAGAGAGTCTTATGATGATAGTTGCAAGCATTGTTCCTCATTTTCTAATGGGAATCATAACGGGGGCCGGAATTCAAGGAATCATGATGTTGGCTGGTGGGTTCTTTAGATTGCCAAATGATCTTCCAAATCCATTTTGGAGATATCCTATGTTCTACATAGCATTCCATAGGTATGCTTTTCAAGGATCATATAAAAATGAGTTTAAAGGACTAAAGTTTGATAGAGATGATGGATCCCTTAATTACATTAGTGGTGATGAGATTCTAAGAACTAAATGGCATGTGGATATGAGTTACTCAAAGTGGGTTGATCTTGGAGTGTTGTTGGCTATGATTGTTTTATATAGACTTTTGTTTTTGATTATTATCAAAACTACTGAGAAGCTTAAACCTTTTGTTCTGTCACTCATGCTAGTGTCTCCAAGGAAAAATATACAAGTTTTGGAGAATACTAGGGCTACTCCTTTACATGTAGAAATTGTATAATTAAATGCATTCAATGTTTTTTGAGATTCAAGTTACAACAATTGAAATTCTTATGTTCATGATAAATTACAAATTTAGACTCAGATCTATTTCTTAACTCCAAGTCTAATTTATCTTACAACAACCCCCTTAACTATTTGGACAATTTGTTTTGTTCGAAAAAAACTATAAATTAAATTGAATTATTGAACTGAACCGAACTAAAATTAAAATAAATAAATTGTTATGTTTGATTAGTAAACCAAACTGATATTTTACTAGCGGCTCTAATACCAAACTGAATTGGAATTAATCAAACATAAACTAAAACCAAACTTTTATTATTATGATATCAAACTGAAAAATATATTAGCAGTGAAACTGTGTTATAGTGAAACTGTGATATCAATTTATTTGAAAAGAACCTATTACAAAGTATTACTCATAATATAATGGTTCAATTATGGTTGATAATTAAATAGTTTATTGCGAAAAATATAATTGTTTAGTCTATTTTAAAGTATCCACAAACATAATTAATAGGTTATTTGGATTGATTTTTAGAAGATCTAGAATCAATTTTAAAGATTTAGAATTGACTCGGAATGATTTTGGGGTGTTTGTTTTATTAAAAGTAGAATTGATTTTATTTGAAGTTAAAATTTGTAACTTTTATCTCTAAAATTGATTCTGAGTGATTTTTATATTTAAATTTATTATTCAATTCACTTTTACATAAATGTATTCAAACATAAATCAATTATACTAAATTAAATTCTATTAAAATCAATTCTATCAAACTCAATTATACTAGAATCAATTATGTTCACCGTTAATCTAAATATTTTAAATCTTTCATGTAAGTTTGTTCAATTTATATAAGTGATTTGATAATCTTAGTGATTTATGGTATTTTAAATGGGTTGTGATTTTCCTTTGAATTGATTTATGATTTTGATTGTGAAAGTAGATAAGAAATGATTTTTTATTAAAAATTATGCATAAAAGGTTAAATATATTTTTCGTGCTTATAAATATCTTAAATTTTATTTTTAATACCTATAAAAAATGATATATTTTGGTTCTTACAAAATTTTTATAAATACAATTTTAGTCCTTGCTACTTTCTAAAATTTTAAAAACTGTTTAATTATCCTTAAACTTTTAAATTTTTGAATAATTTTTTTTATACATGTTCAGAAGATTATAAAATGCTTTTTTTAACCAAATTTTTTAGAATTTTTTAAAACGAGAAGAATTAAATATGATTTTTTTAAATTTCAAACGATAATGATTAACGTAATGAAAATTCCGACTTAAAAATTAAATTTTGAGTTTTTTTTTTCGAGAAATTTTTTAGAACATTCTAAACATAACTGCAAAATAATCATTCAAAAATACACATTGGTTTAACAAGAGAGACTAAAACTACGTATATAATAATTTTGTAGGGACCAAAACATGTCCATTTTTTTATAAGGACCAAGAAAAAATTTGTTAATTTATAGGGATCAAAAACATATTTAATCCTAAAAAATATTTACCAATAAAAAAAACTTAAAACAAATTTAAAATGATTTTATATTTAAAAAGATATTAAAAACAAGTATAATGGTAAATAGTTCGGTTTGAAAAAAGTTGTATTTTAATTGTTTGGTATTGTTTGTAATTCTGAATGGTTATACCAAATCAATAGTTTTAATTTAGTTTAATTTTATACAAATTAAAACGATTTGGTTCAGTTCGGATAAACTATTATTATACTTCGGTTGAATTTTTTGACTGAACTATACTGAGATCAGCCCTAATCTTAACCATTATAGAACGTGATAGAACATATCCAAAGAAATGAAGCTCGTGACTGAAAATGATCTAATAGGAGATTTGGTAGTAAAATTGAAGACAATGTGCATAAATGAAGATAATCTTAAAGTTTTGCATGAAAACATAGTTGATTTTTAACAACTTGGCTAAGAATGAGTTCAATCTCAAGGCTGATGTAGATGCTTGGGATTGGGAATCTTATTTGAAGATGTTGGGAGGACCAATTTTTTCTAAATTGGTAAAGAAATTTTGGGTCTTCGTTGAATCTACTCCAACAATAATATCTTCAATTATGATGATATTAAGTTCATCTGAAATAAAATCACATTGTTAAGGTCATTGGTTTCTCAAGGAAAAATTATTCATGGAAATAATGATCTAGTATCAGAGAACAAGGAAGTTCTAGTCCTACATTTTCTAACAACAATCTTTCACCAACCAAACTACTCACATAAGGTACAAGTTTAAGGTTATCTTGTGTTGTTTAACGCCTAGGAAAACTCCAATTGATTACATTAACTAGGTCTTGAAATACATTATGTATCATCTGGAATTTCATTAAAAAATCAACTTTCCTGCAACAATCTTCAAGCATTTGAGGGATATGATTATAGGGTCAAGTGATGTTCTAAGCAGAGAAATTTCCTTTAATAGACTCTGTTGGAAATTATGAACAACAATTATCATGGGTATTGTTTCAATATGTTACAAATGGACAATTGAGTTAATGACAATAAATGCATTGAAAATAGTCCCACATAAAAAGTGGAGAAAATTTTAAAAGCATTTATAAAGACCTTGAAACATTAAACTCACTAAAGAAGCAAAATAGGATAAAGTGCCACGTGGACATATGTGATGGTCCCAAACATTTTGCCACTTGTCACATCCAAATAATCCCTTACTGATGGTTTGTAGGTGGCACTTGAACACTTAAGCACAACGCATCAGAGACACACTTTCTTGCCAACTCTAAGACAATTAAGAGAGTTCTTGAAATACTTTTAAAGAAAGTGGCTCTGTCGTAACCGATAAAAAATATGAGAGTCGCCACTATTAATTTTTATCATAGGGAAGGAAATTTAATAGATAACCCTAATTTGGTAGAGATTCTAAGTTTGCGAGTTTGGTTAGACGAAGAGAAAGGTGTTGGACACCCTTCATCTCCCTTGTTCTCAAGGGGCTCCATTTTTAGGTCTAGGGTCAATCGGGAATTTGATAGTTAGGGTTTCTAAATATCGCGTATTTTAGAAAGGGGTTTTAATTTTTAATTAGGGGACTCACCTTAGTTTCTAAGTCGTATGTGTGATACGGTGGCAGAACCGACTGTTATACTGGTTTTGCATTTTGTATCCGTAAATGTTGCGGTAAGTAAGAGTCACCACCAACTTTTCTTTTATCTAACTAAGGAAAGGGTGAAAAGAACAAAAAAAGACCTTTCGAGAATTTTCTGAGTAAGAGGGATAGATTATGAAAAGGGAAGGTGTTAGCACCCTTTCCATCCATAGTTTTCTACGGGCTCTTAGATGCTAGCTCATTTGAAAATACTTTGTGCTTTGTGTGTTTTGAAAAGTATTTGAAATGCCAATAGTAAAGCGATTTGCTTTATGATAACTCTTGTATCAATCCTCAAGAGTGTTGATAAAGCATTTTTGAAAATGTTTTGAAAGTGGTTTTGTGTAAGTGTAAATTTGTTTTGAGCATAGCATCTAGGAACTATCTACTTTTACTCGAAAGGGTCGTTCTTTTCCTCTTTTCCTTTAGACAGTGCTATCCTACTATTAGTGAGTAGGTAGCCCTATCGTTGGATGTTTGAGGGACATTCGAAGGGATGTTTATAGTCATAAAGGCAACTGGGCAAGAAATCTTAGGAACTACCCTAGGGTTTTAAGATCATTTTTACCGAGGCAACATCGAGAGGGTCATCGAGGGACTTATGATCTTTTAAACCGGAGGGTAGCCACTAAAATCTCTCACTTTTCGAGAGATGTGATTGTTTTTCTGAAGGCAACCAAAGTAGGGATACCCTAGAGGTGTGTATGTGCAATTGTGTTGTATTCAGTTATTTTTATCTTTGCATTAGGTTTGCTAGCATTTTATTTTATTCTTGCCATACAATCCTATTAGCATACATCTAAACAGTTAAATAGTTTGCAGTAATTAAAAGTGCGGAGATCTAAATCTAGCTATTACAAAGCTTCGGGGAGGGGGATTATTACAAGTCCAAAACTTGGGAAAAAAAATAAAGAAAGCTGAAAAATAAAGAGTCCTAATTAATTCTATTACATCCCATATGCAAGTACAATAATATGAAAATAAAATGCGAAAGGGCAATAATGCGCGTGAACTGAAATGACGTCTAATCCTAAGATCTTTTTGCTTGTTTTTGTTTTAATTAAAAAAATGTTTAAATAAAAATTAGATTAATTAACCTAAATAATTAGATTAATTAACCTAAATTTAGATTTAAAGAAAAATAGAAATAATTAAAAAAATGAAACTAATTAAAGGAAATTAATTCTATGTTTTTTTTATTATGAAAAGAAAGAAATTAAAATGAATTAAATCCTAGGTCTAATCAATTTAATTAAGAAAAGAAGTTAAAATAATTAATTTACAAAATTAATTCAATTAAAAAACCTAAAAAAATTATATTTTTGTGATTTTTATCTATTTTTGCTGATTAAACAAATTAAGGAATATATATATATATATATATATATATATATATATATATATATATATATATATATATATATATATATATATATATATATATATATATATATATATATATATATATATATATATATATATATATATATATATATATATATATATATATATATATATATATATATATATATATATATATATATATATATATATATATATATATATATATATATATATATATATATATATATATATATATATATATATATATATATATATATATATATATATATATATATATATATATATATATATATATATATATATATATATATATATATATATATATATATATATATATATATATATATATATATATATATAGCCTGAGTAGTAAAACAAAAAAACTGGGGGGGGGGGGGAAGTTTAAAAAACGCTGAGCCCAAGTCTGAGGAGCCCAGGTCTGCTTTGTGATTCAATGAGGGCAGCTTTGGAAGGCGCATGGTGGTCTGCGCGTTTGG